GACATCCATTGGCAGAGAACAGAAAAGGCAAAATGTTAATGAACTTCAGAAATACTGAGAGAAAGAGCTCTCTGATCTCAAGTGACAGATCATAAAGAACATTCAAGCTACGTGAATGTGGACTTTACTTTGTAAAGAGAACGGTAAATTCAAAGCAATAAATATCTTTAGGAACAGAAGACATGCAATATTGCCAATTGAATTATTGTTATTTGAATATTAAGAGACATTAAACACATGCCTATAAGCAAACAATCCTGAAACGCAATGCAACAGTTTGATGAATAAAATAAGACAGCAAATGTCTCCCAGACACCAAGGTATCCAGACTTCAGAGAGTCCAGAGTGAACAGTCAACCAAGCACAGTTGTTTAGCCACAGCAATGCCAAAAGCTCCAATGACAAAATAAAACCTGAACACTGGGAAGAGCTGATAAAAAGTCATGAACACTTTCCCATTAACAAATATCTACCCACACGACATATAGGAAGGTATATTTCAAAATCTTTCAGGGGGACAACTGATTTGGGTCCATTTAGGAACTGCTATACAACAAACAGAGTATCAGAAGCCAGACCTGAACAATGCTTGTTTACCCAAGAGAAAATGTATTACACAGGCCCACACAACTGTGAAATATTTATAAGATCTTTTTTCCATAGAATCTTCACTGATATATTTTCCTTTCTCAAAGCTAATTTCAAACTTTAAACTTAATCTGTTACTCACTTCAGACTTCACTTAACCTATACCAAGTGATAACAAGCTGCTGAATGGGTGATTTTTAAACTCCATGTTTAAAATAAATTTCAAGAATTTTCTCAGGAAAAAAAAAAAGTGTAGTGCGATGAATAATTTACCACTTTGAAGACAGAAAGAGCTATAAAGACCTTCAAGAAGTCAGCAAGATTTGTCTTACTAAATATAGGCGTCTTCGAAGTCAGCACCTATCTCCGACCAAGTCACTACAGGCTTCCAGTAGAGTCAACTGATAACTAGTCAAAACAGTCAATGGAGTTGCAACGGTACAATTCACTGTGGCAGATAGCATAAGTTAGGCCTAGATAGCGAAATTTTCGCTAGTTAGCGAACTTCTGTTTTAGTAGAAGTAAACAAAATAGGGCCAATCCCTTGTCCCAGTCAACAGGATAGTGTTTGTGTGCTCAAGCAGACAGTCAAACTATGCAACCAACCTGCTCATCAAGAACTAAACCCATAGAATCACAGAATGGTTTGGGTTGGAAGGGACCTTAAAGATCATCTAGTTTCAACCCCCTGCCATGGGCAGGGACACCCTCCACTAGACGAGGTTGCCCAAAGCCCCATCCAACCTGGCCTTCAACACTTCCAGGGAGGGGGCATCCACAGCTTCTCTGGGCAACCTGGTACTGCCTCGTACCTCTGTGCTCCTTTGTGGGTGGGGAGATGGGACTTCAATGGGCTTATGGCTCTCCTGGAATGGGTCTGGAAGTAGCCAGGGCAAGGTACTGCCATTGTGCCTCTCTTCTCCTTGTTTGCAGAAAAGCTTTTTAATCACATAACCTAACACGCCTCTTCTATTATACCACTTATTACACTTGCCCTCAAGGCTATTTCCTGGACAGGCTTTTAAAAGTTTAATATCCAGAATGGGATTAAGAATCACAAAACACTGTTGTCTAATAACAACAGTATTTGCTGAAGTTAACCATTTTGTGTGATTGTATTAGAAATCCTACAATCTGATCAGCTGATTGTTCATTGTTTGTTTGTGTATCATTGGCTTTTTTTGCAGGAGCTAGATTACAATTAGCAGTTTCCTACTGTTCCACAGTAGCCATAATCTATTAAACAGTAATTTAACACTCATAATACTGATGCAGTCAATTTTAGATTTTTTGAGGGTTGTTTTGGGTTTCTTGGGGGGTTTTTTTGGGGGGGTTACTTTTTTTAGTGTTAAGTTTTATACAGTATTTATTTTATTGCAGACAACTTGTGATTAACTACTGAAATTGAAGGACATCTTAAAAAGTTAAAGTTCATCTGCAAACCTTGATGATAACAAAGTAACAGTTTTAAAAGTACCTTTTTCTGGGTAGTTTTTCAAGTTATTTAAGGAAGTGATACAGTTAAGTACTATTACTTCTAACATATGTTACTGTGTGCATAGGTGTGGTTTTAAGTTTAAATAGTGTGTTTGTAAGAGTTTTCCTGAATTATGCTGTGGATACTGAAACCACCCCCACCTGCAGAGTTGAAGAATTTATTCACCCTTAAAATGAAGTAGTTCCCAGTGTGCACAGTCCCATCAATACAGAGAAGGAAAATAATAAGCAACACGCAGTGATATTAATAGAACTCTTTATGTATAGGACAATTAAGGCCTTGATATAAAAATAAACGGTGTAAAAAGTACTGAGGTAGTCCTTGGGGCAGGAGCGTGAGGAGGGCAGGAAAGGTTGCAGGAGGGGAGATAGGGGGCAGGGAGGATTACTAGGAACTTATCCTAAAGATTCAGTCTGTAAATACAGTGATCAGGTGACTGTACTATATTTGGAACCCCTCAAAATTCAGCAAAAATGCATTTATTACCGACTTCAATTCTGAATATTAAAGAGAATATGAATCATATTGTTAAAGGATGTTGCAGCAGTAATGATCACAGCACTCATGGAATTCAGCAAGCTAACGAACAGCATACATTTGTTACAAATCATTTTGAATCATCTGCAGTTGGCCGTAAATTAGGGAAACTAAATCAAAGGCTTATTTTGATAAAACACTAAGTGCAAATGTTTTGCAAAGACTTTTCAAGTTTTTTCATATTACTCAATTTTTCAGTATGAATTGTATGATAAATGAGTCCT